TTACTGAGCATCCGCTGAGCTACGGCTTTAGGTAGAACTTCCCTCCCATCCTTTAACAGCCATTTCCCCGATTTCTCTTTTATTCCTAATTTTGTAAGCTTCTCCTGTTCTTCTATTGTAAATATCAGCTTATCCTGGGTAGTCGACTCAGGGTCTTTTGGGGTATCTACAAGGTCTTTCCTAACTCCTTCGCTTAAGGTTAGTGTTTTAATAATTGCAGCTTTCTTTGCCTCATAATCTGCCGCATTGTTACCCCTACTCCGGTAATCCATTCCCCGTTGATGCCCTTTTAAATGGACCACCGCTATCCTTGTAGGGCCTCTCAAAGCCCTCAGGAGGGCTACTATTAGCTTTCGATGTATTAAGTCCCTTCCCTGTGAGTTCACGAGGCCCCTTTCTTCCCATAATTTCCCAAAAGTGTGTACCACCCCGTACCCATATTTAGAATCTGTATAGATGGTCCCCTCTTTTCCTTTTAATAGTTCCAAGGCTCTTAGGATAGCGTATATCTCGCAGGCCTGGGCTGACCATGTTTTGTCTAGGGCTCCAGATTCGATTACTTCTAGGTCAGGCCCCCCCACTATGGCATATCCTGATCTTCTTTGACCCTCGACTACTCTGGATGATCCATCAACAAACAATTTCTCTCCAGTTTCTAATTCTTCTTCTTCTAGGTCAGGTCTAATTTTAGTTTGTTCTTCTATAGTGATTACACAGTCGTGCATTAGTGATTCAGTTTCGGGCTCTCCGAAAAGGAAGGAGGCTGGATTTTGCAGAGTGGTGGTTTCTAAGGTAAAATTAGGGGTTTCTAATAAAATCCCTTCATATTTCAGGAGCCTGGCATCAGATATCCATTTATCTGCTTTCTGTTGCATCACACTCCGTATGTTATGTGGAGTTAATACTTTTAAAGTAGCATTAAAAGTGATTTTCCGTGATTCTTCTACTAGTGTTGCACACCCTGCAATTATTTGCAGACAGCTAGGCCATCCCCTACTCACGGGGTCTAGGATTTTAGATAGATAGGCAATAGGTTTCTTTTTTCCTGCCCAATCCTGAGTAAGTACCCCGTACGTTACCCCATCTGTGGTATTAACAAATAGAAAGAAGGGTCTATTTAGGTCCGGGAGGCTCAAGACTGGAGCGTGGACTAAGGTCTCTTTTAATTCTTGAAATTTAGATCTTTCTTCTTCTGTCCACTTAAGATGACCATCCTGGGTGAGTTTGTGATATAAAAATCTTGCTTTCCCACTATAGTTTTCAATCCACTGTCTACAATATCCCGTAAGTCCTAATATTTGACGAATTTGTCGTTTATTTTGTGGTAGAGGGAGAGACAGAATTGCTTGCACCCGGTCTGGGTCAATTCTCTTTTCTCCCTTTTTCAAATAATGTCCCAGGTATTTAACTTCCTCTTCTACAAATTGTAACTTCGCTTTGGAGACTTTTAACCCCTTGGATCCTAAGTAATTTAATAACTTGATACTCTCCTCCCGGACTTTGTCTTCTTCGCTCCCTGCTATTAACAAGTCATCCACATATTGAATTAGTTTCACTTCTGAGGCTGTCTTATAATCTTGTAAAACTTGTTCTAGGGCTTGCCCGAATAAATTGGGGGATTCCGTAAACCCTTGGGGTAACACAGTCCACCGAAGTTGCTGCCGCCTTCCTGTATCAGGGTCTTCCCACTCGAAGGCAAAATAATCTCGACTAGACTCGTCTAGAGGGCAAGCCCAAAAAGCATCTTTCAGATCTATGACGCTATACCACTCGTTCTCAGGTCCTAGTTTGCTTAAAAGAGTATAGGGGTTTGCCACCACTGGGAACCGGGCTACGGTTCTCTTATTGATTTCCCTAAGGTCATGCACCAATCGGTAGGATCCATCTGCCTTTTTTACTGGCAGGATCGGGGTATTGAAAGGCGACATACATGGTTCTAGTAGTCCTTTGTTTAACAGCCTTTCAACTTCAGGTTTTAACCCTTTCCTCCCTTCTAGTGAAATTGGATACTGTTTTATTCTTACCGGGACCTCGGGATTCCTGATTTTTACTGTAAATGGGGTTATATTTAATTTGCCCACGGTTCCTGGATTATACCATACTTCAGGGTTTATTTTCTCTTCGTCTTCTAAACGGAGGGGGCAGAGTCTAATCTTTAACTCTTTTTCTACTACTTCAATTTGAATTCCTAATTCAACAATCAAGTCTCTCCCTAACAAATTGTAGTCCGCTTCAGGAACTAATAGGAAATCACCCACCCCCATCTTAGTTCCTGATTCTACCATCACCTCTTTAATAATTTGTACTTCAAATGGTTCCCCCTTAGCTCCTATTACTGTGGCTGTCTGTTTCGATAAGTTACAGCCCTGAGGCAGGAATTGAATAGTAGATCTCTCTGCCCCCGTATCGACCAAGAAATTTATTTCTTGGCTCTGGGGACCCACCTTCAATTTTATCAAGGGCTCTTTTTGATGTTTCCCGGTCCCCATAAAATAGAGCCCCTGACTCCCCTATTCGATTTTGAACTCCTCCTCGTCCTTAAGCCTCCTTCTGCACTCCTTTTTGAAATGTCCCTTCTTACCACAATAATAACACACCCTTTCTCCTACCTTTCCCTTGTCACCCTCCCTATTCCGAGTGACTCTCTTCTGTCCTTCCTCTGCCCGCCTGCTTTCCCTTACCGCAGCAACCATCATTTTCACCTGCTTCTTCTGACTTTCATCCTCTCTTCGGACATAAACCTTCTGTGCCTCTCGCAATAATTCCTCTAAACCCCTGTCCTGCCAATCATCCATTTTCTGTATCTTTTTCCTAATATCATCCCAGGACTTAGAGACAAACTGGACTTTAAGAATTGCCTGTCCCATTGGGTCATTCGGGTTTAACCCCGAGTACAGCTGAAAACTTTTCCTTAACCTCTCCAACCATTCAGTGGGGGTTTCATCCTTCTTTTGTCTGTCATTAAATGCTTTATTTATGTTCTGGCCCCTAGGAACGGACTCTTTTATGCCATCAATTAATATGGTCCGAAAGTCCCGCATGTTAGCTCTATGGACCGGATCCTGGTTATTCCAATTGGGATTCTCGAGAGGCCATTTGGTATCGGCCCGCTGCTGGGCATGTGCAGGTTGAGCATCCCAGACCCGCATACCAGCAGTTCTTATCATGTTCTTTTCCTCAACCGTGAATAAAATGTTAAGTATAGATTGTAATTCCTCCCAAGTGTATATATTAGGACCTAAAAATTGATCCACCCGCTCTGCCACGCCCAGGGGGTCTTCTAACAAATTTCCCATCTCCTTCTTAAAGTCTCTAACATCCCCTGAACTCAAGGGCACCGAAATGAATCCAATCCCCGGCTGTGGTCCCCCCATGGGCATTTCCCTTAAAGGAAATAGTTTGCCTCGCGTCTTACTTCGGGTAAGAGGACCACGCGAGCCTGAGGGTTGATCAGAGTCTGAGTCTGATTCTTCCTCATCCGATTGTGGAGGAGGAGGGGGTGCATTCGGCGCAGGGGGAATGTAAGGCGGGGGTGCAATAATTACTTCTTCCGCTCGCCCCTTCTTTTTCTTTCCCCCTGAAACCTCCGAGAGTTTAAACACGAGCACCTCCGGTTTTTCTGTCCAGACTCGGGCATAGGCACTCTCCTCAGGGTTAGGAGGTTGTTTAGTGTTTATCCAACCATTTAACAGTTGCTTTACCCAGTCTTCTGAGGACCCAAAGATGGGCCAAAAAACACCTTTAGAAATCTCTTGTCCTCCCCATACTTCTATGCAATAGTGTATCATCTTTGCTTTATCCTTCCCAGGTGCTCCTGGAAGGTGCTCCCAATTCGTCAGCATAAACCCTAAGGGACTATCCTTAGGAATTGGGGGAAGTTTTACCCCCACCGGGGAGGGGGATTTACTCCTACTCTTCCCCTGCCCCATGTCCTCCGGAGTACCTTCAATCACTCACGACAGCACAATCGCTTCCCCTGGTTCGTGGCCCAGGCCCTCGCGAGCTCTGGAAAACGCACTACTAAGGGTCCACAATCACTTGGAGAATCCGGCTGCCGGTTCTCCTCTCATTCACACACACACTCGCCGTACTCCGGGATCCCGAACCCCGCCCGGACGGATCCCTCTATACTTACGCGTCCTGCGTCTTCGTCCGGACTTTGTGCACAAAATTTAAGGGGTACCCTGGGCCCGCTTCCCTTTCCTTTTTTTTTTTTTTGCTTTCGCTTTCTAGGCTTTTAGGTTCGTCGGTCGGGATGAGGGTAGAAACCCCGGTCTGAGTCCGCTCAAAGGAGCGGAATCGTGGCGCCCCTCTCAGAGAGAGGTTCCCCAGATCCGCGATCCGAGTCACGGCACCAAATTGTTATGAACGAGCACAATAGGCTTTCTAATCCAATTAAAAAGATTTATTAATGGTAGGAAACGAAAGCAAATCAGCGCGCTGGGCGGCAGTTATTCCAACTACCGCGCTTTCGTGCCCCATTCCCCCCCAACTTATTGGGTCTTCTCCTCCGGAAGTGTGACGTTCTGGTGTCTTTTCTGCGCAGGTGCACTCTGTTGCTAGGTGGTCGTTTTCTGCCTTTTGGTGGTCGTGGGATGAAGGCCAGTAGTCTTCCTCAGGGCTGTTCTTGTGATCTGGGAATTCTCTCAAAACAAGAAATGTTATCTCTAGGCACGTTTACTCGCATTCCACAAGATTACGGAACTGTCCTTGAAGATATTCGCTTAGGTGCTTTGATGCCTAACTACCTCTACTCCCTAATTTAGTTTTAACTCCCTAAAGCAGTGTGTAACGAAGTTGTCCTTGAGAGATATTCTGGAATGCTTGGCAAAATGAGAACATGTTCAGACAAGTGAAAACTCTAAGTGAAGATTCTATTCTATAGATGTGAAAACTCTATATTATGAACAAAAAGGCCTTATTTTCCTAACATTCAGACAAGTGAAAACTCTAAGTGAAGATTCTATTCTATAGATGTGAAAACTCTATATTATGAACAAAAAGGCCTTATTTTCCTAACATTCAGACAAGTGAAAACTCTAAGTGAAGATTCTATTCTATAGATGTGAAAACTCTATATTATGAACAAAAAGGCCTTATTTTCTTAACACTGCAGAGGCTCCGGCAAGGCATCAAAAACGCCGGCCCCACACCCAATGGTGGCGCGAGATCTCCTCCAGCTCCGGCCTGTCCGCAGGGTGCTTGGCCAAACACCATCGGATCAGGTGCTGGAGCTCTGGGGAGAGAAGCCAGAAAGGGCCGGTCACCGCCAGAAGTCTCCTGCCCAGCTGCCCCCGTCACCCGCGGGTCCCGGGCCGTGCTGCGAGCGCTCTGGGCCGTGCCGGGCTCCCGACCGGCTCTGCCCCGCGCGGGAGAGCGGCACGGCGGGACGCGGCCGCCTCCTCCGGCCGCCCGTGCCGCGCTGACCCCGTCGGCACGGGCCCCTCCTGCGGCCGGCCCGTGAGGGCAGATCCACGTCCCGCGGAGCTGCGTGAGGGCCGCGCCGAGCTGCGCGCCGCCAGCTGCCAAAGCCCGCCGGCTTGAGGCCGGACACCCACCTGGAGAGAGCTGCCGCCGGAAGAAGAGCTTCCCCAGCACGATGGCTTGGTCGTCCTGAAAGGGGAGGCTGCCGCAGACCATGACGTACAGCAGCACGCCCAGGGACCAGATGGTGGCCGCGTGGCCGTGGTAGCAACCCAGCCAGGTCCACTCGGGCGGGCTGTACACGCGCGTTCCTAGGGGAGACAGGCGGCGCTGGCCGGGCGCAGGCTGCTGCCTTCCAGAGCCTGGCACCAGCCTCCTGACCGAGGCAGGGGCCGCGCCCGCGGCCACAGCTTCCCCCCCGAGGCCACCCCGCGTCCCCCAGCCAGCTGGCCAAAGGCAGGAAACCATTCCGCAAGGCCAAGAAGGCCAGCGGAGCAGCCCAGGCCCTTGTGGGCCCGCTGAGCCCAGGGGCCGGGAGCCGCTTTTGCCGCCCCCTCTCTCGTCAGGGCCGGCAGCCAGCTCCTGGGGCTCGGCATCCGCCCCGTGCCGAAGGGCAGCCGGCTGAAGGCCGCGGCCCGGGAGGGAACGGGGCCGTGCAGTGCCTGGCACCGGGAGCAGGACCCAGGCCATGGGCTCACCGGCAAAGTCCGTGAAGGCCCGCTCCTGGAGGAAGGTGCCGCAACCGAAGTCGATGAGCTTCAGGTCGCCGCTCTCCGGGTCCACGAGGAGGTTCTCCGGCTTGATGTCCCGGTGCAGGACGCCGCAGGCGGTGCAGTGCCGCACGGCCTCCAGCACCTGGCAGAAAAGCCAGCGCGCCTGCTCCTCGCACAGGAACCCCTGGTCCTGCTCCTGCAGGAACTCCAGGAGATCCCGTGATGCCCCCGGACGCTCCAGCACCAGGATGAAGCTATCCGGCAGCTCAAACCAGTCGAGCAGCTGGATGATGTTCTGGCAGCCAGAGCCCACCTTCTCCATCAGCACCACCTCCAAGGGCACGCGGGTGCCGTCGGGCTGTGAGGAGGAGAAAATCAGTGCCAGCGGCAGGTGCTGCTGCTGCTGCTGCAGGCCTGGGGCTGCGCTGCGCCCTGCCCGGGATGCCCCAGTGCCCCCTGGCGCAGCCTCCCAGGCGCTTGCGCTTCCTCCCGCCCGGGGGATGCTCGGGGGTGCCCCTGCCCGGCCCCGGCACCGCTGTTCGGCGTGCCCAGGCCCGCGGGGCTGCGGCTCCGCACGCTGAGCCCGCCCCGGGATTCTCCCTGCCCGCCCGCTCTGTCCCGCTGGCCCCGCTCGCTCACCAGCTCGTCCCACTGCAGGACGCTCTCCCGGGCCACGCGTTTGAGGGCCACCTGCGAGCCATGGAGAGAGGAGGGCTGAGCTCCAGCCCTGCCCCTCCCCGCCGCTGCCCCTCCGCCCACGCCCGGCCGTCGCGCCCACTCACCGGGCTGCCGTCCGAGAGGCGGATGCCCGAGAAGACGGTGCCGAAGCCGCCGCTGCCCAGCGGCGGGCCCCACAGGTACAGCTCATGCCGCTGCCTCCTTTGCCCTGCGGCCAAGAGCGAGCCATCAGCCTTGCGCCCAGGAACCCCCCCGCAAGTGCCCGCGAGTGGAGCGGGCCGGGCCCCCGCGGGCCGCCGCGCTCTCACCCGCTTCCTGCTGCGCGCCGGGCAGCGGCCACCGCCCTGCAGCCGCCGGGCTGGCGAGCGGCAGAGCCGGGCCGGGGCAGCGCGCACAGGCGGCTGCGGCAGCCCCGGGCCAGCGGGGCAGGGCGGCACCGTCGCTGTCCCCGGCGTCGTGGGCTGGGCTCTGCTCCTGCCGACGGCCGGGGCTGCAGCCCGAGGCTTGGCACGGGGGAAACCCAGGAGCGGCTGCAAAGCAGACAGGGCGTTTTCAAGCTGGGCCATCGAAGGCACTGGAAACAGCCAGCGACTAGGCTGCTCTCAGGGGCCCTGGCCTGGCCTGGCCATGCCCCTCCAGAGCCCCGGCGGAGCCTCAGGCAGCTCCTCAGAAGATCTCACCTGCTACTAGAAAGCCCTTCGCGGCACTCGAGGGCTGTCTCGGGGCAGCTTCCTGCAGATGGAGGAACCTCTGAAGGCTCGTCTCCACCACCAGGCTGGGGCTGTTGCCAGCTGGCAGAACCGGCGCAGCGTCCTGGCTGTCCTGGCCGCTGTGGGATGACCACAGCTGGCTCCAGGACTCTTGCTGCCCCGTCAGCTGCTCCTGAGCAGGCTCCCCCGCATCGGGCTGGGCTCCCATTTGGACTTCTGGGCTTTCGCCTGACACGTAAAGGGTCAGGATTGCGCCCGTGTCGTTGATGTCCGTGAGTCCAAGGGAGCTGGGAGACCTGTCCGCGGGCTCTGCTCCTTCCGCAGGCTGACAGGTCTCACTGAGCCTCTGCGAGGGATGGAGGCTGTCAGAGATAGCAGAGGCTGGTGGCAGGGTGCAGGGTCTCTGACAGCCTGAGGTTCCTGCATGGATGGTGGTGGCTCCCCCCTGCTGTGCCATCCTTGCAGGCCTTGAGGCTCTCCCAGTGATGGAGAATCTCGCTGGGAGCAGCCTCTGGAAGGGATGGAGGCTTGTGGAGGAGCTGGCCGAGCCACAGCAGGGCAGGTGGCCTCGCTCCAGCAGCTCCTTCAGCTCTTTCCACAACGCCTGCCACATCCCAGAGTAGAGGGGCGCACGTGTTCCGTTGCCATCCCAGAGCTGCAGCATCAGTTCGCGCAGCTCCCGGGCCACTGCCAGGCAGGGGCCGCAGCTGCAGGGGCTGCCCAGGGGGCTGGCGGGAGCACGTGGCCGCTTGCCAGGAGCAGCCCGAGGCCTGGGGAACCTGGGAGCCGCAGGGGCTCCTCGCTTCCTCCATGAGCCTCTGGGCCGGACCCTGGGGCGCTTGCTCCTCTTCGCTTTCCTTGTGCTCCGGCTCCGTGGTTGCCGGTGGCCAAAGGCCCACCAGACAGCCACGGCGGCCAGCAGCAGGACAAGCGCAGTCAGCAGGACGTCACCGTCACCCATGGCTCCAGCACGTCCCATCGCGACTGCACTGGCAGCTGCGGGCGCTGGCCCGTCTCACACAGCGACAGCGCGCTGATGTCACAGTGATGTCACAGTGCTGCGGCCAGCACAGCCCTGGGACATCACAGCCCTGCCTCACGCCAGCACTCGGCCCCTTTGTGCCATCACGGCCCTGCCTCAGCCCCGCCCTCCGCAGTGCCCCAGGAGGGGTAAGGGGGCTCCCTATGGGCACTTGCCGGCTCTCTGGGGCAGAGTGGGTGGAAGATTCTTCTTTAAGAAGGACACAGGAATGAGGAGGGGAATGCTGATGGTCTCACCTCCTTGCTGGCAGAGCATGGGACATGGATTGTCCAATGTGACACTGCAACTCCTTGAGGAGGGCAAGCCCCGCTGAGTAACATCCAAGCCATGTGTGTGCTGTCTACCACATTCCCGTCCTGAATCCAAACCCAGCTCTTTGCTGCTCCCTGGGAAGGAAATGGATCCTATCCCATTGAAAACCAGTACATCAGCCCATTCTTCAGCCAGCACACCCTGTCTGTCTTTGTCTCACACCTGGACACCTGCTCCAGATGTATTCTGCGAGGGACAGGATCAAAACTCCACTTAAAATACTGAAATAGAACCTGCATTGCCTTCCCATCATCCATGAGATGGGTGACCTTTTGTTAGGGAACCAGTGAGTAGGAGCCAGGGTGCGCTTGCGTTTCGGGAATGCCACAACTCCTCGTCTCCTCATTTCCCAGGCAGACCCTGCCACGAGGCTGTGGCCGAAGCGGCCCGACGATCCGGGCATTCTTAGGAGAATGGTGAGTAGCAGACTTGTGGGTTTGTGGCTGCTGTGCAGCTAAGATCATGCAGTGATGTTTGGTGTTCTTGATTGTAGCTGGGCAAGGGCCACAAATCGGTGACTGCAGGAAATTGCCAGCAGGGGAGGCAGCCTTCCTTCGTACCTGATGTGGATTCCCTTTCCCGGACATCCTAGAGATTTTTTTAGGATTGGTGACTGATAAACACAGTGTGTTTTGATGGATGGTTTTAGTTAGTGGTGCTTGTTTTATTTTGGTTGTGGAACTATTTATCTTGGGGTTTTTGTTTTGTTTTTTTTTTTTTTTGTGAGTATTTTAAATAAGATTTGAGACAGTGAGTAGGACTGTCATGTAGTTTATTTTTTGTGGAAACATAAGTATACCTTTAGGTTATGAAATTGACAGGACTACTTTATTGACTACTTACCAAGTCTTTTTTAGGAGTAGGTTTTTGCAAGTCTGATTTTGAAATCAAAGAAGAAAAATGAGAAGACGAAGGAGGTAGAGAAGTTATCTCCTTCTAGGGTAGAAAGGGTTTAACATAGAAACTGCTTTGTCTAATGATGCGTGGGGCATTTCCGTGCGACAGCAGGAGAGTACCGAGCCGTGCGCGCTGAAGGTGAGGCGGCGCCGCCCGCGGGGAGCCGAGCCGAGCTGAGCCGAGCGGAGCGAGCGGCTCCAAGGTCAGCCGAGCCGAGCTGAGCCGAGCGGAGCGAGCGGCTCCAAGTTCAGCCGAGCCGAGCCGAGCTGAGCCGAGCCGAGCCGAGCCGAACGGAGCGAGCGGCTCCGAGTTCAGCCGAGCCGAGCTGTGCTGAGCCGAGCGGAGCGAGCCGCTCCGAGTTCAGCCGAGCCGAGCTGAGTCGAGCCGAGCTGAGCCGAATAGAGTGAGCGGCTCCGAGTTCAGCCGAGCCGAGCTGAGCCGAACGGAGCGAGCGGCTCCGAGTTCAGCCGAGCCGAGCCGAGCCGAGCCGAGCCGAACGGAGCGAGCGGCTCCGAGTTCAGCCGAGCCGAGCCGAGCTGAGCTGAACGCAGCGAGCGGCTCCCAGTTCAGCCGAGCCGAGCTGAGCCGAAGAGGCGAATCCAGCCGATAATAGCCGAGTTTAGTCGAGTGTAGCCGAGGAGCCGAGTCTAACCGAGCCGGGCCCTGCCGAGCGCAGCATCCCGGGCAGGGCGGGGCGCCGGGGCGGGCTCGGGGTGGAGCCGGGGCTCTGTGAGGCTCCCCCTCCTGTCCCTCTCTCTGCCTCTCTTTCCTCCTCCCCGTATTCCTCTTGTTTCTCCCTTTCCCGCATTTCCCACTCTCCCCAAAGCAGCTCCGTTCCCTCCCTTTCCCGCTACCCTTCCTTCCTCTTCCCCGTATTCCTGTTCTTTGGCCCCCAGACCGTCCCCTCCTCTCCCTCCCAAACCCGACCTCCCACTGCCCTCACTCCGTCCTGTCCCTGCCCCGCTACTCCGTTCTATTCCCCCTCTCTCCCTCCTCTGTCCACCGTCCCTCTTCCTTCCCTGCCGGCCTTTTCCTTCCCTTCCCGCTTTCCTCCACAGCCCGACCTCCCTCCCACCCTTCCGCATGCCCGTCTCTCCCTCCTCTCTTCCCGTCGCCCTTCGCTTCTTTCCCCCGCAGCCGCGGGGCTCGGGGCGCGGAGAATAAAGCCCCGAGGGCCGGAGCCCGGCGCCCCCCGGCCCTTGCGGGAGTCCCCGCACGGGGCCGGAGGCTCTCGGCGGATCCCCCCGCGCCGCTCGGACACCGCCCCGGCGCTGCCGGACCTGCGGCTCCGCCACCATCACGCTGAGAGCGTCCCCGCCGCCTCTGCCGCTCCCAATTTCTGCCCCTGGCCTGCGACAGCGAGGCGGGGCGGGGGCTTCAAGCCTTCTGGGGGCTGCCCCCCCTTTCTTGTTGCGGCAGAGTCCCTTTCGGGGGGGATGGAGGTGTGGAAAGGGCTGGAAGGGAGTGCTGGGCTGCTGTCCAGGGCAGTTGGACTTGTTCTGTGCCTTCTTTGGAGGTCAGGAAAAGGGGGTGAAGACTCGGGGCTCTGATGTCATTTGGGGCACCCCAGGGTCCCTAGGAGAGGGAGGCACACTGCAGTGGGGGAGTGGGTGGGTGGCGAATGAGGGGGGGGGGGTCACGTCTGGTGCCGTCCCGCAGAGGAACCTAAAGCTGCCCCAAAATTCCCAGGGAGGGGTGTGTGTAGAATACTAAAACCTGGCAAGTGTTTCATTTTTATAGGTATTGGTAAAGAATAGGTATCTATGGCTAAATTCATTTGGAAAGAAGCCCTCTCTCTATCCACTCATTTGTATCCAGGAATGTAGGAAATTCTGACTGGGGATGGGCAGTAGTTTTGAAAATCATGCCCTAAGGTTTTTATCTCGTGCTGAACCAAGCAAGTGCTCTGAAACCATCGGAGCAGCTGCAGGGGCTGAAGGGAACAGAAAGGGCTCTCCGGCACCTTTTGCCTCCGTTCTCTGCCATTCTCCGTCGCAGTCCCGGAAGAGGCGTCTGTCATGCAGCCTGCCAGAATGAAGACCTGTAAAATCCTAGCTCTGCCTTTTGTTTAAGGTGTTTTTACTTCATATTTATGTCATCACAGAAAGCAAGGAAAGAAGAAATGTGACTGGTTCCCACTATTGCTCCGTGCAGGTACTTTTAAAGGCTGCTGTACTTATGTTCTCTTTTTCCACTC